CTGAGCAGCCACACAGTGTGTCAGCATTCTGCTTTGACAACTTTCAAGAACTGGCAACATGGAAAGAAATAAGGCTGCTGGTGGACAAAATGCAATTTGAAGAAACATATCTTATTTTAAAACTGTTCTGATGCAAAGGTATTGTGAGATTCTTCTGCCACACAGGTGTTTCCTTTGCTCCTGAGAGGTATAAAAGGCCACAAAATAGCTGTGTTATGTATTCAGAGACATTCTGTTGTTTCACAGCAGTAAAGAAGTACCTCTGAGGCACAGGCCAGATCTAATCAGGCCATGGCAACGTTCCAGAAGCCAAATCAGAACAGGCATGTTTGAAATCAAATATAGATCCCAATGCCTGTCTTCAACAAAGCAGTGTTCTGGGACGACTCCAGCACCCTGTTTCCACTGGAGGATTGAACACAGCACACTGGCTCTGCTAACATCCAGCACGTCAATGCTTATCAGAGATGCCAGAGTGGCCACCCCGGGCCAGCCTCGCTTCAGGCTGCTGCCACCGTGGTTACACATTACTGAAGCCAAGCCCTGTGCAGAGGAGATCAGCATGAACACGTGCAGGGACTACAGCTGCTGCTGGCTTTAAAGCAGATGTGTAATTCAGGGAGAAACACAAATCCGTGGCTCCTGCCGAGGGTGACCGCGCGGCTGTGCCACCACGTCAGGCCAGCCCAGCAGATGGAGCACCAGCGTGTCCCCAGGAGGAAGGGGAAAAAAGTGTCCGTGCCAGCACACTCATACATATACTTATTCCAGCACAAAACTCAGGAAACACCTGCTGGTGCCTGCACTTTTCTTCTTGAACTCAAAAATGCTGGAGGGCATCCTGTGCAGCAGCATAACCTTTTTCCAGAGCTGTAAGGCTGTAGTCACACCTCTCCTTGGCTGACTGCTCCTCTCTCCCCCTTCCCTGTGCTCCCTGAGCCTTGTTCTGATCTCCACTGCCTTTCCAGCTCTGATCTTACTCACAGCAGAAGAAGAGCGGGAATGGTTCTGTTTATGGAAGCAAGAAGCAATGAAACATCACTTCTTTATTCTCTCTAATGCAGCTTCTTTCTCCCTGCAGATCCTCCAAGTTTGACATCACACACCTGCCAAGCTATACTAAAATTTTGTCTGCTTGAATTAGGTCTCCAATTCCACAGGCAAGGAATGTACATATATAGGACAGATTGCTTCATACCAGCAGACTCGAGTCAGTAAACAGGGAAGGAATACATTTCAAGTACAAAGGAAGAAAGAGGGATCATATCAAAAGGGAGAGGACATGGCAAGAAAAGAAATTACATCCCCAGCAAACCTCCTTACCTTTCAGTCTGTCTTTTATTGTGTCTGATAAAGACTTTGTAAGCTCAGGCATTTCTTCTGGGATGTACTGTACATCGGCCAGCTTCTCCTTCAGTATTGCACGGATGCATTCTTTTACTGTGGACGACTTAAATCTATCATGGCAACAAAAAAAAAGAAAAAAAGAAAAAGAAAAGTGCAACAGAAAGTTCACACAATGCGTAGAAACGTATGCAATGCCAAATGCCACCTGGAAAAATGTAGCTTTCATGTATTAGAGAAAAATAGCAGATGACAAGCCATGGGGAAAAAAAGCCCGGCTAAAATGGAGATATTGCCAAAAGCCAAACAACAGGGGTGAAACCAGCCCCACTGGAAGTTGCCCCTCCAGCAGCATCCCCCACTCGAGCGGGTGTCACAGCAGGTCTGGGAGCCTGGTGCCCTCCAAACCCTCGGTGCTCCCATTCCCAGCACCCCACTGCCTCATGCCCCTCATGCCCAGGGACGCCCTCCCCACATTCCCCCCGCAGCTCCACATTCCCGGGGCCCACACGCCCCAATGCCCAGTCCCCCACCGCGCTGGCCCCTCTTTCCCCGGCGGCCTCACCGGTGCTGGAGGCCGGGCCGCAGGCTGTACGTGTTCTCGGCCCCTTCGTCCGGGCCCAGCTCGCCCATGGCCCCGCAGGCCCCGCGTTGGTTACCGGGACAACCGCGGCCGCTTCCGCCGCTTCCGCCGCCCGCCCCGGCCGCGCCGCCCCGGCGCTACGGCTGCGTGCTGCCGGAGTCTGTGCTCCTACCGCCGCTGGTACTACTGTGTATTAAAAAAAGAAATAAAAAAAGGAAAAAAAAAGAAAAAAAAAAAAAAAAAAGTTGTGTGGTTTTTTTTTTTTTTTTTTTTTTTTTTTTTTTTTTTTTTTTTTTTTTTTTGTTATAAGAAGACTTGTACAATGAAGTAGTTGGTAAATAAGTGTTAAATAACTGCAGGCTATTTTAATAACGGTAATAATTGCAAAATTTTGCGATGGCTTGTAGAAGATGCCGAGGCGCTGCAGCAAGTCGAGAGAAGGGCGGTGGAGCTGGGGAAGGGTCTGGAGCACAGATCCTGTGAGGAGCAGCTGAGGGAGCTGGGGGTGTTCAGTCTGGAGAAAAGGAGGCTCAGGGGGGACCTTATCCCTCTGTACAGCTCCCTGAAAGGAGGGTATGGCCAGGCAGGGGTCAGCCCCTTCTCCCAGAAAACCAGCAACAGGATAAGAGGACACAGCTGTTCCAGGGGAGGTTTAGGTTGGAATTAGGAGGATTTCTTAATCATTTCTTAATATTGGAATTGACTGCCTGGGGAGGTGGTGGAGTCACTGCCCCTGGAGGTGTTTAAAGAAAGACTGAATGTGGCAATTAGTGCCATGCTGTAGTTGTCATGGTGGTGTTGAGTCATAGGTTGGATGTGACGATCTCAGAGGTCTTCCCCAACCTGATTCATTCGGTGATTCTGTAAGTAAAGGGTTTGAAGAGGTTGCTGCCTGGAATGTGGCTGGAGGTATGATGGGGAGAGAGTGGGGTAAGACAGCCTGGCCTCACTGGGTGCTTCCCCGGTGCCCCCTTCTGCCCCAAACCAGCCAGCAGGCACAGCCCCTGCACTCGGCCTTGCTTGGGGGCTCCCTTCCTGCCTCTGTACAACACATCCCAGACGTCAGGGAGGAGATCCCAGCCTTGCTCCTTTCCTCCAGCAACTTCTTAAATCCTCCATAAAGACCTAAAATTCTTGCTCCCCAGAATCCTACCCCTTGTGCCCTTTTCCCTGCCCGTAGCCGCTGTGTGTCGCAGCGAAGGCTGTGTGTGCTGCAGCCCCTGCTGAGAAGCTGACATGCTGTTTCCTCTGCAGGTTATCTCGAAGCAGCGATCTTTGCGATCGATTGTGCTTCCCACGTGCAGCGGATGACGCAGCTGAGAAAGGTCCCTGTGTGCCTCACCCAGCTCCGAATGGAAACAGTGTGAAGGCACACCCAGCGCTGCTGTGGCGTGGTGCTGCTGCCACAGACGAGAGGCTGGACGGGGCCATGAACTGTGACAGGCCTAGGTGTGCCTGGAGGTGCCCCTCGGGTACAGGAGGTGTGAGGTTGCCCCAGGAGGAAAGGGGTACCACTGTCAGAGTTTTGCTTGGGGTGCACAGGCATATCACAACTGGTGCCAGATCCTGCCCCAAGCTGCTCTGAGCATGGATGGGTTGCTGAGACCCTGAGCAGCAGCAGCTCTTAATTTCTACAGACTCTACCAGCACCTCCTGCTAGAGATGGACCTTCAAAGTCCTTAGTACCACTGGGCTGGGTGTCAGCTCTGCCTGCCAGAAGGAGCACTCACTGCCTTGCTGGAGGTGACATTGGTCCCTTGCCATACCCATGTGGCACCTTCCCATCGCAGTTACCATTGCTCTGCCCAGGCCCTGCAGGTTTCTGCTTGTTAAAGGAACAGTTTTGTGTCTCTGTTCCATCCCTGTACTTACTCACTGCTTACTGCTGCTTACTCACAACCACAGGACGCTGCCTGTCCCTGCAGATTCATGCAAATCATGCCGAGACCTTCATAATTTCTGAGAAGTATCTGAAAGACCTCAAGATTCTGTGTTTATTTGCAAACACTATTAACCGTTTCCTCTTCTCACCCCAGCCACTCGGCTCCCGCCTGGGTCAGACCCACAGATGCGAATTCAGTTAAACCGTTCCGGGAAGCATCTTTGGAACGTGTGGGCTTCTCTTCCTCAGCATCTTTTTGTGGCAGTTTGTGTTTCCTGTTTCACCTGGAAAGCTATGCTTTCCCTGGACTTCAAGGTCATGCAGCTCTGGGCTTCAGTCAGCTCCATCAGAGATGTTTGATCACAGCTTTCTTTTTCTTCTTCCAATTTTTCAGTGCTCCTTAAATACTCCAGATGCTTTTAAACCATTTTGGGGCTGACTCTCTACCCTTTGAGGTGAGTGCTCAGGTGACAGCTGTGTGTCCCAGCAGTGATGGCTGCAGAAGACCAGGTCCTCCCCTCTGGGTCACAGCTGTGTTGATAGAACTCACCAGCTTCTGGCTGGAGAAAAACTATGACATTTGTGCTCCAATGAACTGGTGTGATATGTGCTTGCTGAAGTTGCTGTTTCTTAGTTTTAAAGGACAAACTGTCTTTTCACTTATTTCTGCTTGTCCTTACTTTTTAGACTTCATTTTCATCTGTTGGTGGCCAAATAGAAAAGGACTATCCTATGCAATTTGCCATGCTCCAACAGAAAGAATTTATGTTTTTTAAAGCCTGCCTGAAGCTCCCGGGCTGCTGTGGGGCTGGGGCCATGCTCCTCTGCAGTGCTGACACCTGAGGCTAGGACTGCTGCTCACCTCACTTTCCTCCACAGCAGCTTCCTAGTAGCTTGATCTTTTCTTTTATTCTTTTCATCACCATGAGGTTTTGTTTCAGAGAAAAAGGCATCTTGCCGTTGTTGGTTTCTCGTGGACATGGCAGCCTCCTCGCCCTGGGTACCAGTTTATACCTATTTCAAGTGTGCATTGGAAAGTTTGAGCAATTTGTGCTATGATTCTAATCAGCCCTTCACTGCTGCTGCATGGGGTGGGGAGGATGAGCCAGTTTTTCCTGCCTATCCTTGGCTTGCTGAGCTGTGATCTTGGTGGTGATACCCATCACATCTTCCACCTCTAGAAACCAAAACATGTGGCAAGTGCCAAACAAGCCTCCCCACACCTGGCTTGAGTGCCTGGTGTCACCATTTGGGGACATAAAACCCCAAGGTGGAAAAGCCTCCTTGCTGTCAGTTTCCCTTTTTCCTGGAGTTCAGTTTAGTTTAGTTTAGTTTAGTCAGGGCTTTTTTTAGTGGGAACCCAGGATGTTATGAAGGAAGAGGTGATGTCCAAGTCAAAACCCACGTGCACCTTTGCACATGGTAGAGAGCACTCCCTTTGCCACCCATCCAGGCAGCATGGTGGCCTCTGGCCAGGTGGCATAGAGAGGTGACAAGGTGAGCATGGCACCCACCCTGGCTCTGCAGCTCAAGCAGTGACAGGAGCTCATGAGAAAGGAATGATGCTGCAATGTCAGGAGGAGACTGGAACGGAGGACCAAGACAGGCTGGATTGAGCCACCGTCCCAGGGTGAGCCTGTCTGCCCCAGCTCAGAACTCCTTCCTTGGCCATCCCAGTTTGGCCATCCTTGTGGTATGGTGTTTATGGCTGAACCTGATGGTCCTAGAAGTCTTTTCCAATTTTAATGATTCTATGATTTCATGATTCTATGAAATTAGGGGTGGCTGTCCCAGCCCACTCGCCTGCCAGGGACACATTTGAAAGTGAGAGGTGAGCAAGCCCCAGCCCCACAGCTTGTTTGTGGAAGCTTGGAAAAATAATGAAGTCATCATTAGAATCACACCCTTCTTATTAATTTTCAGTTACTAATTTTCCCCTGAAACTTTCCAAAATTGTGGGGCACTGAGGCTGTGTTTTAGAGAAGTGGAGGAATGTGCTTTCACCGCTGGTTATTTCTTCTGCCAGTATTAGTCAGTGTGGTGAGCATGGATGGCAAAAAATTACAGAAGTCTTCTGCCTCAATAACAGCACCCTGGCTCTGGGCACCTGCCCTTGCTCTCTTCAAATCTGAGAAGAAACACACCTAAGGAGGCAAAACTCGTCCTCCTCCCCCTCTTCCTCATCTCCTATCCCATCCCATCCTGGTGGGAGCAGCCTACCAATAGGTGTCCCATGGCTTCTCAGACCCTGTCTACCCAGTGCCACATGTCACACAACCCCACTGCCTTGGGCACCCAGTGGGAGCACCTGTGGATGCCTGGGAACCCAAGACTGCCTTTATTTATGGGCCAGGCTTAGAGCTGAGGACATGTCCCTTGTGGTCCCTGTCTCCTCCATCCCTGGAAGCTTTCCCCAAAAAGGGTGCAGGCTCAGAGGTGCCTGTCCCCACTGCTTGGCAGCTGGGTATCTGTGTGGGAACATGCCAGGAGCACACAGGGAGGGGAAGGGGCCAGGTCTGGCTCAGCTGATCCTTGCCTGTGTGGGGAGGAAGCTGGGGGTGGGAGGCAGCCCTGGGTTTCCCTCTGGGGCAGAGATGGGTACGTTTCATTTCCACCCAGCCCTTGCTGTGTACCACAGAGAACAAGCTGCCGCTGCGGGGAAGGAAGCACAGAGAGAGCCGGGAGCGGCACAGCGCACACAGCACAGCACCTCCCCTGCCTGGGCAGGGGACATAGCGGCTCAGCATGGCTCCAGGTGCCTCAAAGAAGTCGTGGGGCAGCGTGGAGGTGGCCCTGGTTGACCTCTGTGCCATCCTGCTCTGCTGTGGGCCCATGCTGACCTGCTGCCGCCACGGTAGGTACAGGAGTGTGACGGGCTCGCTGGCATGGGCATATTGTTTTAAGCTGGTGGAAAATGTCTAATGGCTGGGGGCTTTGTAGTTAAAAATTAGCTCTGGCATCAAGAAGGCAGAAACCCCAAAGCTTTTGGGTATGTGCAGCTGAAGCAAAGGACTTGGGGATTCTTGGTGCATAAATGGGATTAAAGGATGGAGAAGGGGACAGGTCCCGAGCTCACAGTGCTGACACCAGAGCTGTGTTGTGACACAGTGATGGTGGTTGGAGTTTAGTGTTGAGCTTATGGGTTTGCCAGTGGGGTGTAGGGTTTTCTTTCTAGCTCTCATGGCTTCAGTCTGTGCCCTTAGGCTGTAACTCCTGGTTTGGACTTGATCCTATGGGATCCAGGATCCCTTCTCTGGATGAACTTTGTGGGAGAAGGAGAGGTTGAAGGGAAGGTGTGAGTCTCGGCAGGGTGAGTGAGAGCTCTGATGAAGCTGTGTCTCCCTTTCCTTCCAGCTCACTGTTTCTTTGGTGGATTCATGTATTTTTTGCCTTGAGGGTGGGCAGAGGGCTGGGTGTCCCTTGGAGCAGATGTTACCTCTGGAGCCAGGAAGATACAGGAAAACATGTAAATCCAGCTTCTACTTTCAGTAGTCCTCCAAATGCTTCATTCATTGTTGGCAGTGGCACTAGTAGGAAATAAAGCCCTGAACCTGTCAAATATTTCCTGCTAAACAAAAGAAATCCAAAACGTGGCAGAAATTCCATCTCTTGGTGTGGACACTGCCACAGCCAGTGCTGCCTGTGGGAATTGGGGCACTTCTTCCCTCCTCCTGTTTAGTCTCAACCCTCATTTCTCAGCCCAGTTTTCCATCTGATCTTGTAATTATTCACAGAATTTCCAGGTTCCTTTTCTGGTTGGTGATGCTGAGGTTATGGTTCTATGGTCTCAGGGCAGAGTTGGAGGGACGGGAGGGACTTTCTGACTCTGTGTGCAAGCCCTGGCGCTGCTATCGGTGGTGATTTCTGGAAAGGGAAGGCAAATTTCCTTTGAAGAGACTTTTCAAAGCTGTGGTGGTTTGAATAGCTTGGTTGGGTGACCCACGTGAAAAATGCTTCTTCCCACTTTTCATTGCTCTGAACAGAAATTAATACATCAGCTGTGTGGGACTGGCTGGAGCCATTGTGTGCCTGGCCCATGTTTGCAGCATTCCCACCACGCAGGATGGGTGAACCCACCAGGATAATGGGCAGGGAAGTGAGGTGAAGCAGCAGGGCTGGTGCTAAAGCAGAGGAGCCTGTGGCTGTGGCTGGCTGGATTCTGTGTTGGGAACAGCCTGGCAAGCCCAGCTGGAACCCCAGGACCTGGCTGCCCACGCACACATAAGGAGAGGACAGCCCCTGGAAAGGGATGGCACTGTAAGCTCCAGGTTGTTCAGTTCTGTCAGGTGGTCTCAGGCTGCAGATGACAAATACTGTGCCATGGATGGCCCCTGCCTGCTCTGAGCTCCCAGCACGGTGTAGTGGAGAGAGCCAGAGCATCCCAGCAGGCAGCCAGGCATGTGATGGGCTGCACCACAGGACACTGCCCCAGCCTGGGACTCTGTCCTTCTGCTCACTTTCAGAGTCAGCCTCAGCTGGAGAGACGATGACTCAGACATGAACATACAGCATATATTTAAAAGTAATACAACCCCCACCTTCTGTTTTCCCCGGTACAGGTGTTCAGTGTTAATTTTAGGTAGCCCAGAGCACAATTTGGTCTGCTGAAACCATTTCACAGTACAGTTGCTACCTCTGAGAGTCCCTCTCCAGCCAGCAGGCATACATTTGGAATGGGAGAGACATGGACTGATGTACCTGCCCATGTCCCAGAGTGATGATGTGGACTGGGCTTGCATTGTTGGCTCCCACACAGGGGTATGGCTGAGACCTGTGCCTGCTGTAACCATGTCTGCTCCTTGTATCCTCTCTCCCAAACAGTGACCATCTTCCCAGCAGTGTTAACACTCCCTGAAGGTGACAAAGCCACTTTCTTCTGCAATATCTCCATGGAGAATGACTCTGGTTCAGAGTACAGCCTCAACTGGTACAAGGAGACCAACCACAGCCAAGCCCAAAAAACTGCTGAGATCCGAAACAAGCCCATGACAGAGACAGAAAAGTACCGGCTCATCAACCACACTTCTGTCTTTGAGATTGAGATCCTGAACCTGCACCAGAATGACTCAGGCTCCTACTACTGTGGATTGATCACCTTCTATGATCCCGATAAAGTGATGGAGAGCAATCGGTCCCAGCTGATAGTCACAGGTCAGCCTGGGGGCTGAGCTGATGGGGACGGGTCCCAAGCCTGTTGTAGCACCAGGGGTTAAGGCAGGCAGTAACCTGCTGGCAGAGGACCTGACATGGGTCAGGAGAGCACAGCCCTGCCCTGTCCTGTCTCCTTTGCACCCTGGAGGACAAATGGGACTATGACAGCCTACCTGGCACTGAACCCTTTCTGAGGACAGCCCCATGTTCCCCTGCTACCTTTCACAAGGACTGTAGAGGCCACGTTACACTCCTGACCTGCTGTTTTGTTCCCCCTTTTTTGAATGCCTATTGCAGCAGCCCCCCAGGTGAATGCTACTGATGAGCCGGAGATGGAGGAAGGCAACCCTTCAGAGCACATCAAGGCCATGCTCCTGGGCATCCTCCTGCTGGCTGGAGTGGTTGTGCTGCTGATCTTTGGCTACCTCACCTTCACATACAGGAAAGGAGGTATGATTCCCCTGGAGGCCACGCAAACCCAGCTGGGGACCTGGGGTCAGCCAGATGTCTGCAGCTGCCTGGGGTACATGGACTGGTTCAACGTGCTCAACTCAGCTGTGGCATACCTCTGTGGGACAGATAACTCCATGCTGGGGAGAGAGGGGAGCTTTGAGCCTTGCTTGCCCTTCATAGAGCCCCCAGACCCTATGCAGTGGCTCTACACCACTCGTTAGTGTTGTGCCTTAATGGTGCACTTGAATCCCTCCCATGCACCTTGCCCAGGTACCTTTGGAGCACCTCACCCTGCTGCAGCACAGGGCATCACCTCAGACACGCCACAGGCACCCAAGGACTCACAGAGAGTTCTGTTGCACGCCACTAATCCCAAAATAAACCCTAGACTGTGGGTCTTACTTGTCTTTGTAATGCTCAGGGTGTTCAACCCTATGGACAAGGAGAATGTGTGGTGAAAAGATTGTGGTGTGCTCTTTGGTGGAACTGAGCCAGCTTACATGGCACACAAACCTCCTCTAACCAAGTGTGTTACTTTGCAGATGTGCAGAAACCACCGAGTGAAAACATGCCAGTGGTGAGTTTTCTGCCTCTGTCACCCTGCTGTGCTGTTGGAGAGCACCGTGGCATTGCTGGGGTGAGGAGGGTGCTGGGCCTTCCTTTATCAGCTCTTCACAAGCATCTCACTTCTTCTCTGCTGCTGTGTTCTCTGCTGCTATCTTCTCTACTGCTCCTTTATCTTTTCTGCACAGCTACAACTGCTTTTCTGCACCTGCAGCAGCACAGCCCCATCACAAAATCAAAATAAAACTACCCAGCATAGGATGTGACTCTCTAATCCAATTCTTCTTCAAAGCAGGCTTATCTTTGACAGTGGATTGTGTTGCTGTAGAAAATGGGAGGATGTTTTCCTCCAATATAACAAGCTAAAATTTATTTTGCTGCAGCTGGTGCATGTTTTCCTCTCTCTTTAGCCAGGCACCTCTAGAAGGGATCTGTTTCCATCTTCTCTCCAGCCCCATTCATTAGGTGGCTGAAGGCAGTGAGTAGGTTGCCCTTTGCTCTCTCCATTCTCGGCTGAGCAAACTCAGCCCTAGGCTCTTCTCCTGCACACCATGCCACCTTGGAGCCCGATGGAGAGGTGGGAAAGGGGCTCCTAGCACAGCCCTGCCTTCCATGGCCAGGCAGGCAGAGAGTCCAGCCTGCCTGCAGAGGCAGAGAGCTGACACCCCAAGGCTCATGCTGTGGTTCCTCTATGCATGTTCTACCCCAGGTCTGTGCATCTTTCTTCTGTGTATCACTCTCACTCTCCCATGACGCTTCAGAGCTGATTTTGGCACTTGCTGTAAGAATGGGCTTGTGCTGGGGATGGTGGGTACCTCTGGAAGCTGAACCACCATGATGGGGTTACCTTGCAGAAGGAAGAGAAGCCCCCTGTGGTGTTCATATCCACTGTGGACTATGGTGTGCTGGAGTTTCAGAGGGACCAGCGCAGCCCAGTGCCCCCCAAGACTCAGCCGGTTGAGCAGACTGAATACGCCACCATCATCTTCCCTGAGGAGAAACCTGTCACACCAGAGCGTGGCAAGAAACACCTGGATGAGAGGACTCGACAGCTGCCATCACAGCCCTGCTGAGGGTCAGGGTCCCTCCTCACCAGGGTGTGGGCTGCCCCAGCCCCTCACTGTGGGATAATCCAGCATATCAGGACTAAAGCAACAGAGATGCTGCTGCTGGAGTCGATATTGAACAGTCCTGGCCACAGTGTTATTGTGGCCATGAGGTGGGTACCACAGGATGAGGAAGGTCCCTGCTGTGCTCCATGTGCTGCCTCTTCACTCAGGGCAGGGAGAATGGGCTGAGGCAGAGCAGTGATGCCAACAGGTCTGTCCCAAACGTGACTTACAGCATGCCTTGGTATTCTACCTCCACCCAGCGCTCTCTGGAGTGGCCATGCTGCTTCCCTGCCCCAGGTCTGAACCAACTATCAAAGCATGACTGTTGAAGAAAGTGCTGGAGGTCAGAACTGGAGTGAATCCTGTGAGATGCTGCTCACGGGAGCCCAAGGCTTCTTGCAAGCTTCTTGCTCGGAGCAGAGGCTGCCCTATGTACCTCTATTCAGAAATCCCTGGGAAGCAGGAAGCTGGTCTTCTGCCTGTCTCCAGGCATTTTCCTCCTCTGCATGAGGGGTAATCTACCCCTGTGTCCCTCCCTCCCCAGGCGGGAGTCAGATATGGCCATGGGGGTGAATAAAGAGTTTGGATCCGAGGAGTTTGTTGGCTCATGGTGGCAAGTGCGTGGGCAGGCAAATAACTGCTCTTGCAGTGCAGGGCAGAGCTGGGAGGTGGCAGCATCTGTTGTGGTTCCAGGGCCTCTCTGAGACATATGCAAGCTGCTCTTCCACAAAGCTGCTCTTAAGAATTTAGAGAGGTCGATTTTCGTTTTCTCCTTGCCCCTGTCTGAGCTGGTCACCCAGGCATGGCTACAAGCCAACATTCGCCCTTAATCAGGCTTGTCTCAGGGCACTCACCCACTCCATGGGGATGAGCATCCCTGCTGTGCCAGGGGTCTGGCTGCCATTAGTCAGGGCAAAGCTCATACCGTGGTGCTCAGTGCAGTGCCTTCAAACTTCCACTTTCTCTCTTGAAAGAGATGTGCTACCTGCCAGAAACCAGAGCGGAAAGAAATGATAACTGCTTGAGAGAGGAGAAACCCCAGTAAGGAGTGGCTTTGGAGGTAGCAGAGGCTTGCCAGGAGAGTGTGAAACTCAGTGAAAACTGAGAAGAGTCACTTGCATCTCACACTTTGGCAGCACTGTCAGCAGGTTTCTTCCTCCCTTACCAGCACAGCCTTGTGGGAGAAAGCAGAGGCTTGCCAGGAGAGTGTGAAACTCAGTGAAAACTGAGAAGAGTCACTTGCATCTCACACTTTGGCAGCACTGTCAGCAGGTTTCTCCTCCCTTACCCCCAGTAAAACCAGCACAGCCTTGTGGGAGCCAACCTGGGTGCTGGGGGAAGGGGTGAGGCAAGCCAGGCACCATATCTTGTACTCTGTGGGGACTGGAAAGTCCATGAGAAACTTCCAGAGGGGACTAGATGGGATAAATATCCATTTGGGATAGCTTACAGCTTTCTTCAGGGTAGGACAGTGGATGTGGTGTCCCCTTTGGTCCCCAGTGCTGCTGAAGGCTCCCAGTAGCCTCCACGGGCAGTGCCATAACTGCCCATAACTCACATAACTCATGTCAGTTCATGGCTCAGCCCACTGGGGATTTTTGCCAGCAGCAGCCCTGCTCCTTGTCCCAGCAGCTCAGACAGAGACCTGCTGTGGCCAGCAGGCCCCAGAAAAGGAGGCAGCTGCAGCAGGAAAGTGGGAGCTCAGTCAGCACTTCTGCGTTTTGCTTTCCCGTCAGACACAACACTGACATAGCTGAGAGGGTGGACCCTGCTTCATATTTTCCATCCTACCTCTCTGACAGCAGAGGTGCCAGATCTTCAGCACTTCCTGCACTCCCTGGCTGCAGCTATGACTTCTACACATGCAGTTGGGGCTGAGTCCTTTCCTCTCTGTTTGGATGGTGGTTTGCAGCTGACCAGAGTCTCCCAAGCCATCCAGTGGGGTTGGAGGTGTAGCAAAAGCATCTCCCACTGCCGTTTGGGATGGGAGAGCATCCAGCCTGCCACAGTGCCTGTGCACTTCCAATCCCCATCAGCCTGGCTGCAATCCTGCCCATTGCAGGGAGGAAGGCTGGGGCCTCAAGATGCATGGGTTGAGTGCTGGGGGTGCTCCAGGCTGCCAGACACCATTTCCCATCCCTGCTTGGAGCACAGGATGCTCAGCACTAACAGACATGAGCTAAACTCCCCTGCACCTGGCATGGCACTGGCTGTGCTGGCTGAGCATCCCCAGACCAAGCAGTGCCCTGAGATGGGTGTCAGGCCCCACACCCCAGTATCCTTTTTGGGAATGGGGGATCAAGTGTGCACACATGTGCAAGCACACACAAATGTTCATGAACACACAGACGTGCAAACATGTCACCAGACAAATTTGTGTGAACACCCCCAGATTTGAAACCCCCCCCGCCACAGACACACATCCCCTCAGCCCCCCCATCCTTGTGCCACAGCTTCTGCTGTGCTGGGACCCCGGACCAGCCAAGGGGAAGGCTGTGGCTGCTGGAGCTGTGGCATTTCCTGTGCAGTCTGGTCTGGCAGTTAAAGCAGCTGCTTCCGACCACGGGCACCCAGCACGCCCCGAGGAGTGGCTGCCACCACCTCAGTGCCAAAATGCTTCGTCAGCCCCCTGAGACCACACACCTGCTGAGACCTCTGGAGAGCCTCACCCTGGTCCCACACTAAGGTCTTGATGATGGGGAATGGCCAGAGCCCTTTGGGAGACCTCAGAGAGCTGGGATTGGTCCCTGTCAGCATCTGCAGAAAGCTGGATGTGTGGCAGTGTGCCTGGGCTATACCTAAGCAAGCAAAAACCTCCTACATGATGCTTGAGAGCCAGCCCGCTCCTTACACACCCCAGTCTTGATTAAAGGTGGTTGGAAATAACATGTGAGCAAGCATCTCTTCAAGAAACCTGAACTCGTAAGCCATGTCTTGGGAAAACTGGACAGGCGGATGAAGATGGAAAGGAAATCCTCTCCTGCACTTTGCAGCTGCGTCTTTGAGGAGAACCATGCCAGGAAGCAGCAAATTACTGTTCCTGAACACCAGGGCATTGCAGATGTTGAGGGGAGAAGGGGTGGTCAGGCTGTAGGACAGCAGGGTCAGTTTCAAGTGAGCACTGTCCAGGTCACTGGGATGTCTCAGAAATTTTTGGTTAGGAGAGGTTGGACTGGAGGTGATGCATCAGGTGTGTGGGTTATTTGTCCACTGGGTAATGAGATGGCTTGTGGGTGGGACTGGTCTGTCAGGAATTGTGTTGTGGGAGCATTGCCATGGCCTTGACTATCTGGGAAAGTGACTGTTGTACCTGGAAGAGAAAGGCTGGAGGGAGCTGGTGGGTGCTGTGGTTGGTGGTGGGAGGGGTGGCTGCTGCGCAGGCTGCCTGGACCCCTAACCATGGCCAGGCTGCACAGCTCTGGTGTGTCCTGAGGGGTCTGGGTCCAAAACATCTCCTCCATCCTGTCCCACCAAGAGTCTCACCCTACCTGTCACTGAGCTGTTGTAGCTTATAGAGTATCTGTGTTTCCTCCTCCCGCCCTCATTCTGCTTTCTCTAGTTTTGCTTTGACTTGCCTCCAGAGTTTCTTCTCCTCTCTCTTCTTCCCTTTGGTAGGATGTGATGCTCAGTGAGGGAGCTGACAGTCCAGACCCAGGTGCATGGGGCTTGGAGGGGCAGGCAGGAGCCCTGTGCCTGCCTGCTCCTCTGTCCCAAGACCAAACCCTCTGCCCATGGCACAGAGCCTTGTTGGAGGGGGTCGAGCTCGCTCCTTATGCCTGGAAGCACCATCACCGAACAAGGAGCCTAAACCCATGTGGGGTGATACCTGCCCATGTCTTCACATCCATTTGCCCCCTTAAATCTCTCTCCATTGCTCAGCATCCCTCTCCACCCCAGAAGTCCAGGATGATGGGGCAATGAGCCCTCTCTACAGTCCCGCTTGGGCATAGCCCTATTTCCTGAGGAACTGATCCTCCTTTCCTCAAATCCACCCTTAGATAGGTGGACCCTTCTGCTCCAAGGGTTCAGCTGTGCAGACAGTCCAGCTTGGAAGGGAACCTGTAGTCACTGCTTGTCCCTAGAGCTGGTGGGTTTCACCATGACGGGGTGACAACCATTCATTGTCAAATGCATCAAGGTTGGAGGCACACAGAGCTGTCATGGAGTCATGTCCCAGGAGGATATGGATGTCCAATTCACCATCTGCTTCTTGGAAGCAGAAAAAAGAGGATCCAGGAAATTCTAGATGAGTCAACCTACCTCAGTATCCAGAAAACTGCTGGAACAAATTACCACCAAGTGGCAAACACTGACAGGGCAGTGCTGGGGCTGAGAACACAGATTTAGCAGGAACTTGTGTCAAACCATCCTCATTTTCTCTTCATTAGGGTGACAGACTGGGTACCACAGGGAAAGCAGGAGTGATGCTATCTTTGTGCCGCCTTACATGACATTCTCAAGCAAATGAGGAAATGAGAAATTCTGCCACTGTGGGTGGATGGATTCTCAAGAAGCTCTCTCCCATGAGCAGTTATCAATAGCTCATGCAGCAGACACATCCAACAGAGATTTTCTGGGGAATCCAGGCTCATATGAAAGCAAGATGCTATTGAAAGAGGGTGTAGGGGCTGTTTGGGTGGGGGTTAGAAATTGAATTCTCCCTGATGACCTGGAGAAAAGAGCAAAAATTTCTTGAAAGAATGACTGATGGAAAAGAATTGGGTGTGTTCAACACAGGAAAAAATGAGGGAAGTCTTCAGAATAGAAAAAGCCTCAGTATGAAGCAAGCAGTGAGAAGTGTTTAGGGTTCTGCCCTGTTGCTTAGATGTCAGTTCATCTGTCCTGTAAACCTTGATGTGCCCATGGACACAGCATCCCCACCGCTGAAGGGATGTTCTTTTCTGCAGTCCTGCAGGGGGTCTGGGGCTGAATGCCCCTTTCTGCCCCTTCCAGGGACTGCTGGCAGGACGGAGCCACCAGGGAATGAGGTGACCCATGCCAAAGGAAGGGATGGATGTCCCAGCAGGAAGGGGTGCATGTGGGCCAAGGAAAGTCCTCATGGGCAATGTGGGCACTTTGTCCCTTGCCTGGAAGAGTGGGGAATGTGGAGGCTGACACATAGTGAGAGATGAAGAGGAGGAGAAAGAACTTTGGGAAACATTCCTGTGCACACAGAGGCGGCTCACACAGGGTGGGAGCTCAAGTCAAAAATAATTTTGTGCTGCGCAAAACCAGCAGGGAAATTACCACCCAGGCTGCACCTTGTGTGCTTCCTTCACGCATCCCACGGAGAAGCCATGACCAGCATGCTGCAGTGAAGAGGATTTGGCAGGGTCTGAGCCTGGCAAGGGCTGCCAGCCCAACGAGGTCATGCTGTGTGCAGGACAGAGCTTGTCCCCACTCCCTGCTGAGGCCAGGCTGTGGGGAGATCCTGTAGGAAAAGCTTTTTTTTCCAGGCAGGTACTGATAAGCAGCAAGGTGCTTGGGCAGAGCCAGGAGGTGCGTGTGAAATGGAACAGGATGTCGAAGCAATTTCGTCTCTGTGGGCTGTTCTAGGAAAGTCCCCTTAGTAAAAGCAACTCATAGGCTTTAATAGAGGGACCAGCACTCAGCTGCCTCAGAGATGACTGTGAGGGCTCAGCACACTGTGGGTCGTGATTTGAGTTGTGTTGCCATGACGTAACAGGGCATTGGTTTCCATCACAGCCAGGTTTTGAAGGTAGGGACCTGTTCCCACATGAGGAACCAGGTATGCCACTGTATCCCCACTGAGCAATGTGCCTGAGGGGCAGGGTTTTGGCCCCTGGGATGGGAAGTGTGTGGAGTGGTGCCTGTCCTGAGGGGAGAATGCCTTGTGTCAGCAGCCTTGAGGAGGAAGAGCTGGGCTGAAACCACAGATCCTTGTTTGGGTGAATATGAGAGTGTCAGGAGCTAGGGCTGTGTCCCCAGGGGACTTCTCCTCCTCAGAATAGCTGGAGATGTTTAACACAGGCATGCCCTAGATGTAAAGGGAAGGTGTCAAAACCTTTGGGTCTTTCCTGCATTCAACCCCCCACCAGGGTAAATCTTGGACAATAACACAGAAGGGGTCAAGTGGACAGACAGATGCTGCAGGGTGGGGGCTCCATCCTGGTCACCTGCTGTTGGCTGGGTCCCCAAGCCATGCTTGGCCATGGTGCCAGCTGTGAGGCCAACTCTTTCCCTACTTAGCTTCCACCTTCTGCACCATGAGATTTGCAGCCCTGAAGACCCCTCTGTGGCAGAATACATGAAGGGGTCTTCTATAATGAACCTATAGACAGGGAAGCCCCAGGGAAAGGAATGAGAGGAGGCCGTAAAGATCTGCTGCCTTGTCTCTTCCTCCTCATGCACCAGCCCTGAGCCAGGGATGTCTGCCAGCTCCCTTCTGTGAACATTGAAAACACTGGTGGGATGATCCCTCCTTCACTGTCCTGCTTGTAGTTCACTGCCCCAGCCCAAGCAGGACCCAATGAACCCATGACAAGGGTCTTGGCAAGGGGGTGACTCAGGGTCTATCCATAGGTTAGGACTTTCTTCATAAGCCTCCTGAAGACACTGTCTTGGCTTCTCTGCTTCCAAGCACTTTCTGTCCTTCCAGTCCTGCTCCAGATGATGGTATCAAGGTGTAATTGGAGTGGAAGGAACCACAAAGAAGGAAAATGTGGAAGCTGAAGGTTTGCTCTGTGCTGGGATCTCCTGGGGTCTCCTACCTCTGCTGTCACAGGAGAGGCAGTGCACCTTGTGAAGGTGTTATAGGGCTCTTGGTACACATGACTTACTGCCTTTTCTCTTCCAGCAGCAAAGGTCAGAGCGTCCCTGCCAGGCTGTGGTTCCTGGGATTTACCTACATGGACTGCCTGAAGCTAAACCTGCTTAATCAAGATCTTTCTCAAACTCAAGACCTGTTATCATTTGGCATCTTATCTAACCTGCATTCCATCCTGCATTGCTCTCCATAGGAATTCCTGGGGGAGCTGTGCACCCCGAGAGGGGTGAGCTGGGAGGCAAGGGCTGCAGGTGGCCCCAGCCCTGCTGTTTATACCTTGCCTGGGTGCTCTCAGCTCAGAGCATCTCATCTGTTTTGGTTTTATGTACTATGCTGTCCTCCCCAACTTTCCACCCTGAAGTTTCATGTTAGGCCTTTTTTTGCTCAAATTGGCTGAAAATAGATAAAAATAGCCCATGGTTGGTGGCAGCTATTGAGATAGATAAGGTTATTTGGAGCTTTATCAACTGCTGAGTCCTGCATTTTCAATGGATTTCACTTTCATTATTCCTAAACTGGGCAAATCTCTCTAAGTTCTCCCCACTGCCATGAATGTGATGGGCGTGGGCAGCCTGGCAGGGGGTTTTGTTTCCAGTCTTTCTGCCTAAGGACAGAGCAGCATTGTGGCTTTCCAAGGTCAGGGGCTCATGTACATATATTGAGGAAACCCACCTTGTCCTTACTTTAGGGGACATTTCACCTGGCCAAGACCTGGTGCAGTGTCAGCAGAGAGTGTTGACCCAGAGATTGGGATGGGGGGTTGCTGCTCATGCAGGAGCAAAGGTTCCCCTCTCCAAGCACAAAAACATTGTACAAAAAGTATAGGGACACGGCAGTTGCACATGTGCATTCAGGAGCTGCAAGCTTGACTTGCAAGCTTGGTCGCTACCCCTTCCCCAGCTTCAGGTGTGTCATGGTTTGACACTGGTGCAATTCCAGTGCCCCCATGAAAATAAGTTCTCCCAGTGGCTGCTGTGAGATGTGACCAGAAGTAGAGCAAAGCAGGCTCCAGCTTAGTAATAACAGAAAAACCTTTATTAATTTACAATATATAAAAAGGAACATACACAGAACTTAGAATGAAAACCTTCCAAAACACTCCTTCTCCTCCCCCCAGTTTCCACCACAGCACAATGAGATAAAACCTTAGATTTTCAATCCAGACACCACCCCTCAGATAGTTAACTTTCAGGTCATCACCACCCCTCAGATAATCAACTCTCAGTTCATCAAGGAGAGAGGAGTCCCTCTTGTACCATAGGCTTCGCCAGGAAACACAGTTGAAACCTCTTGTGTTTCCATGTCACTCGTGGCACCACCCAGAGAACATCTGCCCTCTGACCTCTTCCTTCCATGTCCAGTGCTCTCACCACTGTGCATGGACCAGATCTGCTTCTGGGGTTCCTCTCTTAAGGATGCTTTGCCCAGGTCCAAAAAAGCAACAGTCCCTCACTTTTGGGACACCAGTCCCCCCCAAATCCACCCCCTGGGGCCGAGGAGTCTCGAGAACAGAGATCTTCTTCACTGAAGACAGAGGGCATCACCACTCTCTCCTCATCAGTCTCTGTTCATGCCACTGCTTCACATAACATCACTGCACCCTCTTGGCTCCAAGCCATTGCCTCCCCCTAAATGCAGTCTCTGTGTCACAGGAAAAATGGGTCTGTCCATGGCCATACAAGAGAAGAGTCCAGCCAAAGGCCATTCCATCATCTCCTCTCACCTAGGATTCTTCTCATCTCCTTCTGACATCTTTCACTTGCTCAGCCCTTCACCACACTTGCACATTTCCTTCTATTTCATGTCTGTCTCTCTTCTGGGAGGGTTTAATGTTCAAAGTTTTCATTGTCCAAGAAAAGGGTTAAAATCTCGGGCTCTGCCCGCCCAGAACTCCCAGCTGGGCAGGGCAGGTCTGACCTCTTTCACAACCGGAACCAAGAGAGAGTTTCCCTGGCTGTTCTCTGCATTTTAACCCCCTGTGTCCTCAGAGGCGTATCCATGTCTTCAGTGGCCACACCAGGTGCCAGTATTCAAATCTGAGCACTGATTGGTTTGGCCACAACTTCCCGAAAAACTCACTTCCTTATCAACCCAGGACAAAGTGTAACTATGAGACTGTGGCAGGACATTTTTGCAGTGAAGATTGGAGAAATGCACGTAACAGATCCGTGGACACTTCTGGAGGATGATGCCCTGCAGGTGCAGGCCTGCAGGCCTGGCTGGAAGGAGTTTGTGCAGCACCGTGCTCTTGGGAGGTAGGGGGCTGCGGACAGTCCCTGTTGGAGGGGGATCAGGGTTGATAGGTTGCCATGTGGACCTTTTCCTTTTTGCTTGTAGGAAGCAGGTTTTTCAGCAAAAGGGGGAGTTTGGAGGTGGGTGAGGCTGTGAAGGGTTTCTTCATTTTTGTTTGAATCTCGGTGGGTTATTGCCAAAATGGAAAACATGATATTTGGAGGTGAGAGTAGTTCAGCAGGTCCAAAGGGCAGCTGCTATTTGGCCAGAATTTCTCCATGTCATTGTTAAGATGAAAAGAGCTCCGTCAGCAAGTAGGGGGACTTATACCTCACTAGAACCAAATCTTCTGGGTTTGCACTCAGAGGGTAAGGAGAGGGAGAACCACTGTGAACTGGGACATGGAGTGATGTCTCAGCAGCCCCTGTACCTGCACCAGGCTGCAGAGCCTTGGGCAGAGGGAGGCTGTGGCTCTGCATTGCTCATAAGAAGCACCCCAAACATTTCCACTCTGGGCATTGTTCAGACACCCTGCCTCGGTGGCAGCAAATGGAGACTTTGGTTGCCAGTCCCCATGCAGATTGTGCAAGATGAAGAGCTGTGGGCTGCACACCTTTTGGCTCCTCAAGATATCTCTTCACCTGCCCTGCACCCTCCACCCACACCTTCCTTCTATTTTGCTGTTATTGTCTTACCCAGTCTTGGGCTTGATGCTGGCTTTCCGCTGAGCTGTGATAAGCCAGCATGGGTGAGGGGCTGGAGTCCCAAATAGGGACCTGATGTTTCCCACCACAAGGGCCTCTGCTTTTGGCAGTGAGGCCAGGATCCCAAAAGACAGCCTGGCTTCTGAAATCTTTAATGCTGGGGCCAGCCCTCAGCTCACATCTGTGGTGAACTTCCCAGGCTGCCATCATGCTGTTAGGGGGAGGACAGTTTGGTGTAAACTTTCATGAGTGGAGTTAGTCCATAGTCTGTGTTAACCCTCGTCCCTACTGACTGTGCCGAAAGCCTCTAGCTCAGCATGGGGCACCTGGGATGAGCTGGTTTCTCTTTGCCCTGACAGGTTTCAGTGCTCCCAGTGCTTTCATAAGTGGTCTTCTGCCAAAGTGCACATCCTGTTCCGCATGTACCACTGCCAAGGCTGGGGCACGGTGTGGATGCGAATCTTTCGCCAGAAATGCAGGCGCTGCCCTAACTCCCGGCTGGAGGATCCTGAGTTCAGCCTGGACACTGTGGAGACAATTCTGCACAACCTGGTGATAAAGATCCTCCAGTATTTCTACAAGAAGCCTGTCCAGCCCTCTGACCTCCTGGAAGTCGTGGTGGATGCACTGGTGACGGGGCCACACGACCGTGCCCACTGCGAGGCCTGCGAGCTTGGCATTTGCAACAGGTCACAGAAGGCCCCGGCACTGGATGCCTGGAAGCCCTTGACAGATGAGAACAAGGCCAGGATGCACAGCAGCAAGCCATGGCTGGCCTGGACATCAGATGTCTGGAAGTCCTTAACAAATGCGGGGGAGGCTGGAACACATCACACGGAGTCATGGTCGTCCCTGGGATCAGATGACTGCGAGCCCTTGATGGGTGTGGGCAAGGCCAGGACCCATCACACTAAGTTGCAGCCAGCCCCAGCATGGGTTTCCTGGAATACATACGAATCCTGGACCTCTCAGACCCTGAAACACCAGGGCTTAAGACCCCGTGAAGCCTCGACGCACCACCCCTCACCCTCCAACAGCAACTCCTCCTGGAAATGGTGCTGCTGCCTCAGCAGTTCTTTGGTCTGTGTTTTGGCACTGATCATCTTCCTTGTGTTTTATTTGACCAAGATGTAAAGGGACCTGGGGATCACAAAGATGAGCTGGGGTGATGGCTAGTTGATGAACTGCCTGGAAAATTGGATACCCAGGGTCAGCCCTTGCTCTTGGTTCAGCAAGCTCCCCAGCTCCTGGTGGCATGGGATCACACTGGGATGCCTCATCCAGGCATCTTGTCCAACAATCTCTGGAAGACTCATGGGTCTGATGGATTCTTATGGGACATATTCTGTATGAGGATGAACCTCCCAGCTACCCCATGCACAGGATGAGGTTTCTTACTTGCAAGAATAAAACAACCCCCTTCTCCTCAGCCCAGGAATGCATTTGTGCTTTTTAATGTCTCAAAAGCCTTTTCTAGCTGTGTGTGGGCATCTTGGAGGGAAGCCTGGGGCTGTTTTTATCTCCCAGTGGTGCTCTGCTTGAGTCATGGTCGTCCCTGGGATCAGATGACTGCGAGCCCTTGATTGGTGTGGGCAAGGCCAGGGAGGCACATGCCCAGTCTGCCCTGCCTTTGGCCAGCTGTCTGGGTGCCCTGCAGAGGGGGCAAAGGGTGCCAAACTTGGCAAGTGCAAGAAGGCCGTGGCAGCAAGTCCAAAGTCAATGCCCCGGTTATGCAGAAATTACACATATTGGGCTACAGGGTCTGGGCAAAGGGAAGATGCAGACTCTTGCCTTCTGCTACTTCACCCTTCAGGGCTTTAGGGAGCTGGTGGGTGTCATAAGGTTGGGAGGAAACGTGCTGTCCCCATGGAGCCTAGCACCCTGACTCTTACCTTCCCTGTAGGGCAGCTGGGCTCCTGCAGAACTTACCCAGCATGTCCTGTGGCCACAGCTGATTTCAGCTGGGATGGAGATAATTTTCTTCTTTGTAGCTGTTACTACACTGTACTTTGGATTTAATATGGGATTAATAATGTTGATAGCACACTGATGTTTTAGTAGTTGCAAGTAGTGCTTACTCTAAGTCAAAAACTTCTCTGTTTCCTGTGCTCTGCCAGTGGAGCAGGTGTACAAGGAGCTGGGAGGGAGCAGGGCCAGCACAGCTGACCAGAACTGGCCCAAGGGACTTTGCACACCACAGATCATCCTGCTCAGTGGATAAACTGGAGGAGTTGGCCAGGATGGGCTGATTGCTCTGGGGGATGGGCTGGACATGGGTCAGAGTAACTAACTGCAGTGTGTATCTCTTGTCTTTATTATGTCTCTCTCTCTTTATCTCTCTGTTCATGATTGTTATTATTATTAATAATTATTAATATTTACTTTGTTTCAATTATTGAACTGTTCTTAACTCACAGACTTTACCCTTTTCCAGTTCTCCTCCCCATGCTGCTGGGGCAGGGTGGTTTGACTGAGTGAGAGGCTGTGCTGTACTTAGATACTGGCTCAGCTTAAAAACCACAGCAACTTCAATAAACTTTTGAAATAGCCTGTAGCCTGTGCATCACAAGCCTCAAACACAACCATGATTACCAAGGTCTGTCTTCTCCAGGATCCTGGGGTGAGCAAGTGGTGGTGGGGGGATGCATGGTGTGCTCTGTGAGAGAGAGCATTGTGAGGGCTGTCACCTGGGAGTGCACTGGGGACACCAGGGATGCCATGGGAAATCCATCTCCATGGGGCCTCAGGAGAATCAGGAGAGGCAGCCATTCCCTGGGGAAGCGAGGTGCCAGTGACAAGCACGCAGTCACCAGCTCGCTGCTGAGCCCTGGATGGGTTTAGGAGCAATTTAAGAGACAGCACCCCTTGGTGTGCTTGCACCATTCTCATCATAGCTTTTGTTTTCATTTGATACCTCTCACAGAGAGGCTGGCCAGTGATCCTGGCTGGTGAATGACTTCTATTAACTCCTGGCTTACTCTGCTTCAGTGGCCCCAGGCACCTGCTGTGCTAGGCTGCTGATCGCTGGGGCTAAGTGGGGGTTTCTGACACTTTCATGGCTCCCTCTTCTTTGCTGCTTTCTCTGTGATTCATGCATTGCCTGTGTGGTGGAGGAGCTGAAACACAGACACCAGGGGACATGCTGCTTACCTGAGTAGCAAGAGCTGAATTGAACAACCCCCAAACAACTTCGGGTACTGAAATTGATTTTAGGCCTGTCTGTCAAGTTAGTCCAACAAGGAGAAGACCTGCAGAACCACTGAAGCAGCTGTATCCATCCTCTTATAGCTTTGCAAATGAAGATGGGTATGATATCAAAGACTCGTGGCTGAATTAGTGGAAGAATGATAGGCCGAAGGAAAAAAAATACCAAACTCACACAGCATCAATCCCTGGCTGTGCAGATTCCCAGGTGCTGTCCTGTCCTCCCTGCTGTATCTTGAAGGGTCCTTTATGCTGCTTTTTCTGCTACTGTAATGTTCATCTTTATTCTCAGCTAGACAACCTGCAGGCTATTGGTTAAAAAAAAAAAATAATATAACAACAAAACGATGTGTGGTCCAGACGCCGTGTGGATTTGGTTTCTTAAGTTGTCTAACCTGCTTTTATCCAGCCAACCCTTCTCTTCACCAGAGAGAAGAGAAGCGTTCTCTTCTTCGCCTTCTCCCTGCAGCCTCAGCAGCCCTGGCCACGGAGCCACCAGATGGAGCTGCAGGTCTCCGGCACCGCTCTGGGAGCACTGGGACCAGCGACCCGCCAGCACTGGGACGGGACAGCATGGGGGATGCCGTCCCTCCTGTTTCTGTGACCAGCTGCTGCCCTGTGGCGTGGTCCCCCCAAGCCCACCCCACGAGGTTCCTGGGTTGGTGTGTGAGGGAGCGGCTCCGAGGAGTGCCTTTGCTGCGGCTCTGCCGGGGCTCTGCTCGGATGAGGCTGATCCTGCCCGGACCAGCTTCCTTCCGTCCCGTGCTGGGAGCAGCCTGCCCCTCCCCGCCAGCAAAGATACGGACAAGTTTCTTGCTGCCATTGTCCATAGCCCTGGTCTTTCCACGCTGAGGTTTTCCCAGCCCCAGTCACCATGTCTGGGCTGTCTGCCGCCTCTCCAGCCCCCCAGCTGCTGAGTGGGAACTCCCTGGTCTCTGCCTGAGATGCCGGTTCTGGTGGGGACTGCATCCCTGCAGGAGTCCTTATGTTCCTGCTTGAGTCTCTCTGCTCTTTTACAAGGGCAGACTCACCTCTTATTCCCCTGCAAGTCTTTTACACACCCACTGTGCTCCCCCATCCATGGCCTTGTGTGAATTTGCTCCTTTTCCCCTGGTCCCCTCCTTGCTGCTGCCTTCTTGCCTGCCTGTGTCCTCATCCTGTGCAAGCAAGTCCCCTCCCTCATGCAGCCCCTTCATCTCCTCCCCAGTACTCAGAGCCACCTGTGCATAAATGGCCTTCTCAGCCAGGGCCTCATTTTTGGGGTCCTTTCCAGGATACCCCTTTCCAACAGGCAGCTGTGCCTGTTACTAGTTTCTTAGCAAACTGCCTTCAAAATTCTGCTTTCTGTGGCTCCTGGAACTTTTGGGGTTCAGAGCAAGCACTCCTGGCCGGGCCAGGCCCCCAGCTGTCACGGGAGCAGTGAGCCCATCCCAGGGGATGAAGGAAGAAGGATGTTCTCTTTGTGGGTTCTGAGCAGGTCCTGTCTGTCCCCCCCGGTCTGTTTCAGATTGGGCTCTGCTACAGCCAACTCTCAGCTCACTCGCAGCCAGGGACAGCAAAACTTCACCCAGGGATGTTTTGCTGGCTTTTCACCACAGCCAGACTGATAAATAGCTGTCTCCACGCCTGTCTCCCTGGAGAGAAGCTCTCACCACTCTGGCAGGTTGCGAGGTGCCAGAAATGCAAAGCCCATTGTTGGTCTCACTTTTCTCCTGGGCTGCCTGTTGCCAGCCCCCGCGGTGCCCGGGGCTCACCCGGGGCTGGCACCCGGCAGCCGCAGCTCGGTGAGCGGGGGGCGAGGGCTGGGCTGGCTCGGGGATTTCCCGGCAAAGCTATTGACGGGAGGCGGGGGAGAGTCTGTGCTCGCCAGCGATCTGTTAAAGGGCAGCAATATTTTATAATGTGCCCCAGGGCTGTCTAGGCTCAGATCCTTCAGATGATGGTTTAATGCTCAGGGGACCAGGCCTTTATTTTGCTTCTTGTCTCTCCTCTCCTTTACTCCCGTGATGTCTCTGCATGTGTTAGCAGACCCGTGAGCCAGCCAGATCCACTGCCCTCCTCCCTGTCATCAACACAGAGGAGCCTGGTGCTGTTTTTCTGTTCTGTGCCGTAGGAAAATAGGGATCAATAACCCAGCTCCCAGCCCTGGATACAGGCACATGGGAGAAAACAGCCCCCATTATTTTAAGCTCTCTCCAGAGTGGAGATTCTCACAGTCTCTGATGCAGAGATGTCCGGCAGAGTTTTGTCCCTGCCTCAGCTCACATCTGAGCTCACTGCAGGTCCTCTGCTGTGAGGACATGCTCTCTCAGTCCAACCACTAGTGGGAATAGGCTGATTTTTCACACTTTTTAAAGCAAAAGTCACATACCTCATATTTTTTTCCCTCATGTCAGTTGAACTCAGACTTAATTGCTATTCTCAGCAAACAGGTTGCTGCCCTCTGCTCCTGCCACTAACCCGCATCTTCAGTGATGTGCTAAGGCTATAAATAATTGAAGGCAGGATCTCCTCTGTCGCCCTTTTTTGTGATTTGTATTCAGGGGCTGCTCAGGGTCTGTCTCAGCCCAAGAAGCTGCACAGGCCAAGGCTGAGCAGCCGTCAGAGTGAGGGATGGTGTGAAGATTCTCCTGGGAGTGCAGGCGTGCATGGCAGACATCAGCAACCAGCCTTAACCATGTTCCTCTTGCAATAAAAGCCTCAGGGCACAAGCTCAGTACATACAAAAGTTTTATTTTGTTCTCAGGAGGAAGACTAAGAGAACCATCTTTACCTGACATCAGGTATTTTACAGAATGTAATAGATATAAAAAAAGAAATACATATATTAAAAAATACCTTGCAGTTACATGACATAGCCAAGAGTACAGTTCATAGTGTATCTGCAAGTTCAACCTTCCTTAGGCCTTCTGCTCCTTTACAAGTTCTACAAATGGCTTTTTGGATGATAGCAAAATGTCAGAGCGTCTCATCCACTGTTGGCTTCTTCCTTTCATGGAAAAACCAAAGCAGCAGGAGGAGGAGAAAGAGAGGCCTGAAGGAGGCTACAGGCACGCAGAGAGCACAGCAGGCAGTTTTTGCATGTTGCTTACATCTATGCTGGCAAATGAAGAAGGTCCTGCTGAAGGAAGGAAGCTCACCTGACCTTGTTCCTTGTTGGAACTTGTCTGCATGGGCCATGGAGGGAAGCTGGGGAGATATGAATACTTCTGGTGTGTTAGGTGGGTTTGAGTCAGTCTAGAAGGACTTGGACATCTGCAATAGGCCACAAGTGCCATGAACAAACACTGAACACCACTGGTAACCTGTAAATCAGATAAATCAGTGGCCTCAAAAGCAGTGAAAAGGGACTAGGTTCTTGCAAGAATGAATAAACTGTCATGCAGGACTAACCAGACTCCTGAGAAAGAGATGAAAGCCAAGAAAGGGTGTTTTATATTAAATGATTCTGCTGAAAATAAGTATTGCTTAGATACAGCTGATGTGAAGCTGTCTTGTAATGGAAAACACTTTCCTTGTGAGGTCTGCTGTGGCTGGAAACCACAGAACTAATCTCGGGGTGGGACTGGAGAGGGCTTCAAGTGATAGAAGACTGGAGAAATTTTTGTGGCTGGAGGTCAGGGTGATGCTGAGTATAAACCCTGCTCTGTGTCCTCGTGTTCTCTGTGGGTCACTCATCCCACATGGTGGGATACAGGTATCCCATTTGGGCTGGTGCTGTCTTGGCAGCCATGGCTGAAGTTTAGGGCTAAATGTGGATGTATCCTCACATCTTTGGGGCCAGGTGGACATCACCTGAGATGCTACCAGGAAAGGATGTTTATTTGCATATAAAAATAATGGCAAACTCCCAGGACTCTCTCACTACTCCTTGCACAGAAAAGGGCTTCACCAGCATGCGGAACCTGAGGCGCAGGCCTGCCCACATGGGTTACCTGCACTGTCCATAGGCTCTGAAGTTCTGTAGTTGCGTCTTCTGACAGAGAGATCTGGCCAGAGAGTCCTGGGGGTGGGGAC